AATAATAATAATATATAATAATAATAATAATAATAATAATAATAATAATAATAATAATAATAATAATAATAATACAAGTAAAGAAAGGAAGGTGAGAAAAAATGAGAGAAAGAAAAAGAAAGAAAGAAAAGAAAGAAAAAGGAAAGAAAGAAAGAAAGAAAGAAAGAAAGAAAGAAAGAAAGAAAGAAAGAAAAGAAAGAAAGAAAGAAAGAAAAAGAAAGAAGAAAGAAGAAAAAGAAAAAGTGCATAGGTCATTTACCCCTTCCAAGCACCCCTCCCTAACCCCCTTACCCCTTACCCTCCCCCAGCCCCTCGAGAATCGCCCCCCCCCATGAGAAAGTCCCCCCTAATCCTCATCTAAAGACAACCTTTCCCCATTCCCACTCACTCAGCAATCCCACTCTTCGATCGCCCCCCACTCCCCCCCCATCCCCCACCTAATAGAAATTCTAAATGCGCCCTCCCCCCCTCATCCCCCCCCGTCCCCCGGACGCCTCTACGCCGGACAAGCGCCAAAGAACTACAATAAAACGCACGATTCCACAGATACTCACACATGCATGATGGGTAACTTCAATCTCCTTCCTCCTCCCTCCCACAGTCTCCCCCTGTCCCCCCTCCTCTCTCCTCCCTCCTCCCCAATCCTCCCCTCTCCTTCCCCACTCTTCTCCCTCCCTCCTCCCCACACTCTTCTCCCCTCCCTCCCTTCCCCACTCCTCTCCCTCCTAAATCTCCACTCCTCTCCTCCCTCCTCCCTCCTCTCGCCACTCCTCTCCCTCCCTCCCTCCCTCCCTTCCCTCCCTCCCTCCCCTCCTCCCTTCCCTCCCTCCCTCCCTTCAATCCCCCCCCTTCCTTCTCCTCGATTCCTACTTTTCTTCCTCCTCTCGTCAACCCGTCCATACCCATTCCTTCCCTTCCTTCACTCCTCATTTCTCTCCTCTTCTCACTTCTTCTCTTCACCCTTGAACCACCATTCCTCTTCCCGAACCATTCAACTCCCCCCCCCTACTCCTTCCAATCTCCACCCTCCGCTACCACTCACTTAACTCAAAACCACTTCCATCGCTACCCGCCACTCATACCCCTATCTCCCCCATACGAGCCCGCCCCTATTCCCCCATACTCCCCATCCCCTTACCCACAACTCCTTCGCCATTCTACCCACCATTACCCCCTCCCCAACCCACAACTCCTTGCCCCTTTCCCCGTACCCCCCTACCCCAACCCCCCATACCCCATCACCAACCCTCCCTCCCCTTTATAACCCATACCCCCTACCCCACCCCTTGCCCCTTTCCCGTACCCCCCATACCTCCTACCCATACCCCCATACCCCTTCCACCAACCCCCTCCCAACCCCCCTCCTCCCACATCCCCCCTTCCCCCCACTCGACGCAATAAGAAAATCGCTGGGTAGTTGTTATTCTTCGGCGCGACTTCCTGTGTTGGGTATCCTGGCTGCCATGCCCAGGGTCTTCTCACGATCTGCGCTTACGTCGGCGATGCATCCTCCCCCTCCCCTCCTCTCTCCTCCCCTCCCTCCTCCTCTCCCGTCCCGTCCCTCCCCTCCCTCCCCAACTCTTCCCCCCGACCCTTCCCCCCCTCCCGTCCTTCGCCCTCCTCCTGTCTTTCTCTTTCTCTTTCTCTTTCTCTCCCCCTCTTTCGGTCTTGTCTTCTCTTTCCCTTCCCAGTCCCGTTTCTTTCTTTTTTTCTTTCTTTCTCTATGTTTCTCTCTTCCTTTCTTTCAGTCTGATAAAGTGACAAACTGATAATCTCGTAAGAGGGAGAAACCCAAGAAAGAAAATGAAAAAGAAGAAAAAAACAAATTTGAAAAAAGAACGAAAATACGAAAAAAGCAAAGAGAACAAAGAAGAAAAAAGAATAACACAAAAAAAGAAAAAAAGAAAAAAAACAATAAAGTAACAAAAATATAACCAGAAAAAAACAAAAGAAGGATGGAAGAAAAGAAAAACGAAGAAGACAAAATAAAAAAAGAAAAAAGAAAAAAAAAGAAGAAAAAAAAAGAAAATGAGAAAGAAAGAAAGAAAAGAAAAACAAAAACACGAAAAAAAGAAAAAACAAAAACACGAAAAACGAAAACAAAAAAACTCTGCGAGCATCGTGGGATAAGTACTTGCACCGGGCATTGAAATCCCTCTTTGCCAGCTGCTCGGTGGCGGGTCTTCGGCCGTTTCTTTGTTTTATGTTTTTCGCCGCTACAAAAATTCCAGACATGAGTCCTTTCCGCTTGAGAGAATGGGGGAAAGCGGAGACAAAGAGACTGGCGGATGAAGAGGAGAGGAGGAGGGGAAGAGAGGTAGAGGAGAGAAGAGAAGTAGGAAGAGAAACAGGTGGAGAAGAGAACAGTGGAGAAGAACAGGTGGAGAAGCGAACAGGTGGAGAAGAGAACAGGTGGAGAGAAAAGAAGAGGTGAAGAAAAGAGAGATAGAGAAAAGGAGAGGAGAAGAGAGTTGAAGAGAGGAAGAGAGGAGAGGAGGGGAAAGTTGTAGATAAGAGGAGAGGAGGAAAGAAGAAGAGAGGAGAGAGGTGGAGAAAAGAGGAGAGAGGAGACAAGAAGCAAAAGAGAGGAGGAGAGGTGGAGAAAAGAGAGGAGGAGAGGTGGAGAAAAGAGAAGAGAAGAGATAAGAAGAAAATAGGAAAGGGGGGCAGGGATAAAAAGACGGAAATTAGTAAAACCAGAGAAATGAAAAATCGAACTGATACAAAGAAGAGGAAAGAGAGAAGGAGGAAGAGATGAGAAAAAAGAGAAAAGAAAAGAGAATAGGGGAAGGAAGGAGATAGGAAAAGAGAGAAGATAGATGCAACTTTGGAAAAGACAAAAGAAAGAAGAAAAATAGCGGAATGCGTACACAATGCACATAATAACGAAACGAAACGAAACGAAAAAAAATAAATGGAAGGAAAGGAAGTGAATAATAATAATAACAGTAAAAAAAAAAATTAATTCAAAATGAATACGTCAAACGGCATCTGGATGGCTGTCAGCGATTGACGGTGATGGCGGCAATCACCTTTTTTTTTTGCAACATTTCTCTAATCGGTCAACAACGAATGGAGGAGAGAGGGGGAGAGGCGGATAGGAGTGGAAGGAGGGAGGATGATAGGAGTGGAAGGGGGGAGGGGGGTCTGAGCGATTGAAGGAGGGAGGGAGGAAGTGGGGGCGATAGAAGGGAGAAGGAGAGGAGGGAGAAAAAAGGAGAAGGAGGGAGGGAAGAAAGAAATAGAAGAGAGGAGGAGAGGGGGAGGGGAAGGGAGGGACGAGAGGGAGAGGGAGATAGAGATAGAGACAGATATAGAGAACAGAGAAAAGAGAAAATACAAAACACACCGCCGTACAACTCCAAACAAACACCACGATACTCGAATAAACCTCCCAACAAACTGCAAATAAAAAAAAAAAAAAAAAAAAAAAATCACTACTCACTACCTTCCCCCTCCCCTCCTCGACACTCCCCCCCCACCCCCACCCACCCGACCCCCCTCAAGGCCACCTTCCCTTACAAGGTCCTGAGCCTTTCGGGACAAGGGCCTTCGAGCCTGCCCTTCACCCCTCCTCCTTCCTCCCTTCCCCCTGACCCCACACCCTTACACCTGTCCGGGCCTACCTCATTTACCCCTACCTCACGGGGTCTCACTCCTTGCCTCCTGCTCTCAACCCCTTCTCCGGTTCCCCCTACTCTCCACTCCTCCATTCTCTTTCTTTCTTCTTTCTTTTTTTTCCTTCTTTCTTTCTCTTTTCTTTCTTCTCTTCCTCTTCTTCTTTTCTTCCAATCTTTCTCCCTTACCTTGTGGAAAAAGACGGGGGGAAGAAGAAGAAGAAGAAGAAGAAGAAGAGAAGAAGAAGAAGAGAAGAAAGAAGAAGTAAAAGAAAGAAAGAAGAGAGAAGTAAGAAAAGAAGAGGAAAAGACAAAAAGAAAAATAATGATGAATCAGAAAGAATGAAAAAAATAGCACCCATAAATCCAAAAAGGAGATGAAGAAATACAACTTTTGATGCAAAGGACAGCTACTCACGGACGAAAAGGAAAAGGGAAAAAATAAGATAGGAATAAGAGTTCCGTGAAGCTGGGTGTGGAGGACACTGCACAAAGACGGGCGGGCGAGAGGTGGGGGGGTGCGGTGGTGATTTCTGGGGCTTCTCTGAGTGAGTGAGTGAGTGTGAGTGGGGAGTGAGAGTAGTGAGTGAGTGAGTGAGTAATTGTGAGTGGCGAGTGAGGATTAAGTGAGTGAATGAGGGATTGAGTGAGTGGGGGTGGAGGTAGTGTGAGAGGGGAGGGTGGGTGGGTGAGTGAGTAAACGAGCTGTGAGTGAGTGAATGAGGGATGAGTGAGTGGTGGGTGTGTAGTGTGTGAGAGGTAAGGTGGGTGAGTAAATGAGTGCGTGAGTGAGTGTAGTGAGTAAGTAAGTACGTGAGTGAATGAATGAGTCTTCAGTCTACGCTTGCTTAAAAAAAACATGTATCAAGTATACAGCACACATTATATATATATATAGGTGCATCTATTGCCTCCACCGCATGACGGACTGCGTGCCTGGGTTGGTCATGTGACTGGTGAAAACTTACAGACAGACTGCGATGAAAATTTATAGGTGAACTGGCCATGATCTAACATAATTGATGGGGTTTCAATGGTAAACCGTTTTCTTTCCATACAGAGCATATGGTTCGGCTTGGGGTAGACTTGGGTATTTTGAAATAGGGTCTATTTTTGGATGTGTTTAGCTGACGGAAGACAGGAGGAGAGGTTGGGTGTGTGCGTGCGTGCGTGAGTGAGTGAGTGAGTGAGCGTGTGAGTACCCTAAGTAAACGAATAAGTGGCTGAGTGAATAAATGGCTGAGTGCAAGAGACAACGAGGGAAATGCACGCCCGGATGAACCAACGCGGCGCCTAAGTTGACCGCCCAAGTGAGCGCCTAAAGTAAAGTGAATGAGTGTGGCGTGCATGGCATCCAGTGGTGCCAGTGCGCCGTCTACTGACCCCTGAGTGCCTTCATGTGCGCCACGGCCATGCGCAAGATGGTGAGCTTGTCGGGTTTGCGCGCCAGGGCAGAGCAGGTGGGCACCATGTCGCTCAGCTCCGCGATGTACGCCGTCATCTTGTTCCGCCGCCGCCGCTCGATCTCGCAGTGGTTCTCCCTGTGGACGCACGCGGGAAACAGGTTACTGACGTGTTGCCGGCACAGAGGGCGCCGAGCTCAGT